TTACTAAATAAAATAGCCAATAACTTAATGTGTAAATTATTTTACACTTACAAAGGCAAATCTAAAACTTCCTACACCATAATCTCATTGCATGATGAATCCCTCTATGTTGCTACCAGTAACCTAATTGGACATGACACAATACCAATTTTTTTTTTTTTAAAAAAAAGACATGTACTGAAGATGAAAACAATAACAATGTTACCCAAAAGACCAAAATTAGTATTTATTTAGACTATCTTTTTAAGACTAAGTATTTAAACTAGCGTTATTACAAAGTTGCAAACATTTCTTTTAGTGACAATTATAATGAATCTCTCATATATTATCTTGCATTTATATACTTTAAATTACCGATTTAAATAAACAAATTCAACATTTATTTACCTATGCATGAACATCTCCTATATAATATTGCATTGATATACTTTGAAATACTTATTTAAAAATAATTATTGGGCATTATCCCATTCGCGCAAAGCGCCTAAAAAAACTAGTAATGGGGATATATACTACTGATGTGATCCAACTTATTAGGGTGTATTAAGTTCGCTGTTCGCACATGGAAATCAGAATCGGAATGATTATTAAATACTTGGTCATGGTAATGAATTTTGTGAAAGTATTTTGCATATTTGGTAATAGGATGTAATGAGAATGATTATCAATATTGTTGTTTGATTATGTATGAAGAGGAATAATAGAATGAAACCCATATTTTATTAGGGAATGAGTTTTTCAATTAAGGGGGTAATCAAAACTCATATTAGTATAGTGTTCTAAAAACTTGTCAACCAAACAATAACAATGGCTTTGATACCAATTCCTGATAGCTAAACCTGTCAACCAAACACACTCTTAATATGATTGGTCCATACGGATCACGTCTGGCACCCGTCCAGCCAAAATCAAATAGGGAATTGCCTTTCCATTATTTTATAGGCTGGATGGGCAGTTCGCACCTGAACGCAGCCCCCCTGGTCCATATATGTTGTTAAACATTAGCCTGGATATCTCATGGATTGTGGTAGGAAATTATAATTTAAGATATCGTTACATGATCAAAATATTTCACTATTTGACGTGGTAATAAACAAAATGCGCATGATCTTAGAATTTACTTTTTGCAGTTCAAAGAGTCAAGATCCCATCGTCGGAGGGTTCGATTCTGTGACCTTCCCATAAAAGGAGTTACAGAGGTACTATTTAAACACAAAGTGCTTGGCTTACTTTTTGTAATAATATAAAATATCCTATTCACAACATTTTGGGAAACTTTAAGGGCCCGTTTGGTTGGACCAAGGATTTTATTTTCCATAGAAGATGGGAAGAAAAAGTGAGAAGGAATACCTATTTTACCCTTGTTTACCTTTTTTAATTATATTACTTTTATTAATTTGTAGGGACATATAGGTCTTTATACTCGTTATTCCTTACAATTCCAAATCTAATCAAACAATAGAATTTATATTCCCAGTAATTCTTTTTCCACCAATCAAACAATAAAATTCATCTTCCTAATAATTATTTTTCATAAAATTTTAATTTCACTTCCCTTAAAATATTTTTCGCAAACCAAACGAGCCCTAATTCAGAACCATGAAAGTAAAGGACCGCCAACAAACGTGTGATGGGAAATTGACACAACACGTGGGAACAACCATGTCCAATAATCTCATCGTACAGTTTTGACATTTTTATTTCAGATAAATAAAGTAAAAAATAAAAATACAAGTTAAAAATTAAAATTAAACGATTTTGAATCTGGTACGAGGGTGGTCAAATGGATGTAGCCTCCGTGAAAATGTGACGAGAATCTTGAATACAAGATATTGCTTAAAGTTCTACTTGATTTTAGATTAGGAATTATCGTACCAATTAATTAAGTCAGCAAAAATAAATAACAAAATAAAGGCATGAAATAAAACCAAGTACATAAGAATTGATCACGCAGTTTGAAACACTTTTCTTATGTCTGCGGAGCAACTCACCTCTGCCCAATCCACTAAATGTTCACCAAGGTATTACAATGAATTTGTACACAAGGCTATCAGCCGCTACAACCACTACAACTTTCCTAAAATCCACCACGGAATTGATACGTACATGCCTCCATTAACATTAACTGTTGATGCGCCTGACTCTGTTCCAGACCAGCCAGCCAAGTGATGTACGAATGCAGTAGCTTCAATTATGATTATAGATAGGCAAAGTAATAACAAATATATTTCACTCACAATTTAGCTTAGTAATCCGTAGCATTCCACCCAAATCAAGCCAACCCTTTATCTTGAAGAATAATCTCACCCACATAAAAATAATGCTTCCTTGATACTTCTGACTTGTTAACTTCCTCTACTTGAGAATAAACCTTAATCAGATAAAATAAATTAACTTCTTTGTTAATAGATTCTTCCCATCCGAATAAACCCATGAGCTTAATAAAATAAGGCTATTTAATAGGAGACGGTCCAAGTGCTTTGCTTAAATAAAATTCTAATTAATTTCGACAAATAAATTAGTCAACATATAGGATTTTAATTATGTATTAAATTCTACATTTACATTCTGTACCAAAATGTTACAAGTTTAATTTTTGTCAAGTTTATTGCATATGATCTTCTTAGTTAAAAAAATAAATAAATAAATAAATAAAAGTCTGATCACTTTGAAGTTTATACCTTCTACTCTGATATTGTTGCACATAAAAAGAAATATGAGGTAATATTGCAGTTTAACAACCCCATGAACCGCAACTAATAGAAGTACATGTAATTAGCTTTTTATACTTATTTTTATTTTCTTTACTACAATAATACAAAGTACTTATCTTGTACTTGGTTGTTTAAACTTAAAATATCAATATTAATATTAGGAAAAATGGCACTTTTTCCCCCTATGTTATATACTTATAGCACTTTTTCCCCCTTAATTATTTAAGTGGCTCTTTTCCCCCCTGAAATGTTAAATGGACATATTTATCCTTAAAATAAATATTTCATTTATTTTTATTCTCCAATAAATTATTACTATAATTTGGTTCAAACCAGATACTATAGTAACCAAACCAAAATATTTCAATTACAATTTATAATCAAAATGCGATATTTAGAGTTTATTAAAATCGCGAACTGGAATGGCCGGTTCATGTTCCGAACTGAAAAAATAAAATACATTTATTGTTGAATTTAAACTATTTTAAAATAAAAAATAAAATTTTAAAATAAAGACGGTTCAAAATCGCGAACGGGATCCGGAACAGCCGGTTCATGATCCAGTTTTTTTTATTCTTAAATTTAATAAATTGAAATCCAAATATTGGGTTCTAGATCTGAATCATAACTGAAAACTTTTAATTCGATTGCTATAGTGTCTGGTTCAGTTCGAACCGAACCGTGGTAATCGCTACATATACGCAATAATTTGTTGGAGAAGTAAAATAAATAAAATGCTTACTTTAAGGGTAGAAATGTCAATTTAATATATTAGGGGGGAAAACCACCACTTTTAAAATAATTGAGGGGACTAATGTACTTACATAAATAATTGAGGGGGAAAAAGTGCTTTAAGTATATAACATAGGGAGAAAAAGTGCCATTTTCCCTTAATATTATATATACACAGAAATGTCAGGTGACGCACGATAGGGCGAAGTTCCTTGAAATCTTCAACAATCCGGCGAATTTTAAAATGTGTATACGCAACATGTTTATCCCATAAGATTTGAACATGCAAGGTCAACTTACAATTGATAAATAGATAGGAAAAAATAGAAATATATATATCACAAACACGAGTAAATTATTTTACATGAAGTTTAAACTAACATATTCACAAGAAGAGTAACATTGCGTGAGAAGGATGATGATTGTGTTCATCTCTTACTTTTTGAATTGCAGACACTATTGGACAGGGACGGAGCCAGAAATTCGATGGGTATGTGATCAAAGGATTCAAACTTTTGACCTTCACTATTGTCAAATATGTGCTCTATCAACTAATTAACTCATTTCTTGTTGATCTTTAATAGTTTTTTTTTTTTTTATACTAATACTAAAACATGTACTATATATACATACAGAGATTATATATGGGGTGAGGGGGCAGTTGCCCCCTGCCCCCTTTGGCTCCGTCCCTGCTATTGGAGATGTTTAGTCTAGATTTTTATGACCGATAAGAATATATAAAAAGCATATTGAATTGTGTGGTGATTTGATCAGTTTTATAGACTTTCCAATTTTTTGACCGGTAAACTGACTTCAAAAGTTAATTTTCTTTCACATCCGGCCATCACCAATTCACCATTGTCCATTTGTCTGTCTTGAGGGTCATATCAGTACTCGACATATATGTGTTATGGCCAACCTAAGTCACTAGTAGCATCCGCTACATCAGTCTTGTCAGCAAATTTTTAACATGTATTTCCTACTCCAATTATATAAATATTGCGCTCCGCCTACTTGAAAAAAAAATCTTATTTATAAAACTTCAGTACATTTCCCAACTTAATTAGGTATTCCAACCTCTACTATGGAAATTGTATATATTAATATATGTACTTGATTTTATTATTAAAATTGATCAATAATTTATTACCCTATTCCATTATATTATATCTCAACTATGAACTATATATACTATCTAGCTTATCCCGACCCATGTATATAATTAAAATTAAAACATTTTTTTTTTATCATAAAACAAAATAATGTTAAAATACTTCGTAGTAGTTAAGTATGAATAGTATTCCTAACAACCCAAAAATCAAGACTGAGAGGTCAACGTTTAGTCAGTAGTCATGTAGCAGCAGCCATGAAACTTCAGACTTAACAACCATGAACATTTACTTCCAATAAAATAAAGGTATGTATATAATTATATATAATATAATATATGGATACCTTAATTTCACAGTAAGCACACCCCTACCCCCCCCCCCCCCCTCCCTACTGTCCAGTGGTCCCCACTCACTCTCCTAAACATGACTATATATGGATGTTCATATCCGTTATTGAAGCACCAACTAACAAAAACTTCAGGTAGTGCCAAACAGTTTTCAGTACATTATATTATTGTGCTTTCATGGCTCCACCGCAATCATTGGTGTTCACTGTGAGGCGGAGGGCGGCGGAGCTTGTTTCTCCGGCGGGGCCGACGCCTGGCGGGGTAAGGTATCTGTCCGACATTGACGACCAGGAGGGGCTGAGGTTTCAGATTCCGGTCATACAGTTCTACCGGAACGATCCCGCCATGAAGGGGAGGGACCCCGTGAAGGTTATCCGGGAGGCGGTGGCGAGGACCCTGGTGTTTTACTACCCCTTCGCCGGCCGGCTCCGGGAGGGGCGTGGCCGGAAACTCATGGTGGATTGCACCGGGGAGGGGGTTATGTTCATTGAGGCCGACGCTGACGTCACGCTGGTGGAGTTTGGTGACGCACTACAGCCTCCGTTTCCATGCTTGGAGGAGCTTCTTTATGATGTTCCTGGATCCGGAGAAGTTCTCAATTGCCCTTTGATTCTTATTCAGGTAATCTTTTTTTTTTTTATTAATTTTTTTTCTTTTGTCATGTGGAAAACTATAGCCACTTTCTCATATTATAGGATATGTTGGAGGCCACATGCTCTGTCGGATTAGAGTGTGGGGGCCCTTGGAGATTCAACATTTTGGGAGAAGGACACCGACATATAATTCAATAGTTTAATAGATACTAAGTAGTATTTAAAAAAATAGATCAATGTTTGAAACTCAACAATAGCATTATGAGAAGTATATCCAAAATGACTAGATCTCTTGTGCGGGGATTATGCTTAAGTGGACAGATCTTGTGTGCATCTAAATTACTGTGATTTACCTCTCCGAGATGCAGTGTTAGGTTGGGGCGTAGAGCCTTAGAGTTGATAGTTCAACCTAAACTTATTGGGAGAAAAAGGATATGTTGGGTATAACCTAATCAAATTGGTCATCAAGTTGTTAACGTACTAATCAAGTTTTAAGTTCAACTTCTACCTCTCTCACATGCTCTGTCAGGTTGAGACGTGTGGGACCCTTAGAGTTGGGGAATCAACTAACCTTTTGCGAGAATATATGTTGAGATAACATAGTCAAATTGATCAAGTTGTTAACTCATAAAATTTTAAATTCAACTTCTGCTGAAATTACCTATTGATCACAAGATAATGTTTATTCAATGCACACTTAAAATGATAATACTATAAAACATAAAATCACTTCTAATATTTATTTAAAAAATATATAATAATTTAATATATACATATGAAAATTTCATTATTATGTTGCGGTGTGACTATAAGGGCATTTTTGAGATTATCTACCTGGGAGATATTTTCAGTGTATGGTATATATTTAAAGTTGGTGTCCATGACAAATATTGATCAGCATGTGTTGGGCCTACTGGGAATCAATCATATTACATTTGAATATAGACATAAAAGTGATTAATTGACGAGTTGGACCACTATATCCTTGAGGGGACATCATGGTGTATATGATGTAGTTTAATATGAGAAGTAATTTATTACAGCTCCAAAAGGACTTATCAAAGGGAGTGAAATAAAATTCTTTTATGTTCAGTTCGTGTACACTTTCATTAATGGTTATATGCTCAACACCGTAATTGCTTATCGGGTGACATACAAATTCGAACCATAACCGGCTCTAATACCAAATTTTGTTATGTAGGTTACTCGGCTGAAATGCGGTGGCTACATAGTGGCATTGCGTCTGAATCACACTATGAGCGATGCCCCAGGTCTTGTCCAATTCATGAACGCCGTAGCGGAGGTGGCGCGTGGCGCGAGTGGGCCGTCAGTGCAGCCGGTGTGGCAAAGGGAAGTGCTGAATGCCAGGGACCCACCCCGGGTCACATGCACGCACCACGAGTACGATGAAGTGCCGGATTCCAAGGGGACAATTATACCATTAGACGACATGGTCCATCGCTCTTTCTTCTTCGGACCGTCGGAGGTTGCCGCTCTCCGGCGGATCCTCCCCTCCCACTTACGCAAGTGCTCCACTTTCGAGCTGCTAACGGCGTGCCTATGGCGCTGCCGGACCACCGCCCTCCGCCCCGACCCGGAGGAGGAGGTGCGCGTGCTCTGCATCGTGAACGCGCGGCCGCGGTTTAACCCTCCGCTCCCGGAGGGGTACTACGGCAACGCGTTCGCCTTCCCGGTGGCGCTAACCACCGCCGAGAAACTGACCAAAAATCCCCTGGGATACGCGCTGGAGCTGGTGAAGAAGACCAAAGCCGACGTCACGGAAGATTACATGAAGTCCGTGGCGGACCTTATGGTCCTCAAGGGACGCCCGCATTTCACGGTGGTCCGGACTTATCTCGTCTCCGACGTGACCCGAGCCGGATTCGGCGACGTGGATTTCGGGTGGGGCAAGGCGGCGTACGGCGGCCCCGCTAAAGGAGGAGTCGGCGCCATCCCCGGCGTTGCAAGCTTCTACATACCGTTTAGGAACAAGAAAGGAGAAAATGGAATCGTGATTCCAGTTTGTTTGCCGGCGTTCGCCATGGAAACGTTCGTGAAGGAGCTTGATAGAATGATAAAGGGAGAAGGCGAATTCATCAACGATGATAGTTACGCTTTCATCAAATCTGCCCTTTGATTCATTGTAGAGCTAAATTGAATGTTTGTGTAGAACTATAAGTCCTATCCATTTGAGTATGTAACTTTTATTGTATACTTGGTCTAAAAATGTGTATCAGTACTTGTAAGACAAATTCGGTTGTTTAAAAAAAAATGTCAAATTCGGTTTTTGGTACGAAGGGACGGTTTGTATTTTGTATACTTACAAGTTAGATTGTTTAAAAAAAAATGTCAAATTCGGTTTTTGGTACGAGGGGACGGTTTGTATTTTGTATAAACTAGTATGTCACCTGTGCGATATTGGTATAAAAATTAAATATTTTATTATGGATAAGATTTTAAAAATAAAATAAAATGGTAATATAAAGTATTAATCCTCAAAATTCATTGCTAAATATGTTTTTTCTCTTGCAATATTAAATTATTTGTTTATATTGATGGTAACAAAATTTTACCAAAAAAATATTACTCCGTATAAAACATTGTATTATTGAATACCACATGAGATTTGAAAATTTTAAATTTAAATAATTTCAATGTTCTTACAATTTAAACATAATTATGCTAATTACACATACATTGATGGGGGTGTGAACCCCGTGGGCTTGGGGCCCAAGAAGAAGAAGAGGTCCAAGAGGAAAAAGGGCTGAGCCCAGAAGAGGAAAAGCCCAAGAGGGATAAGGGCTAAAACCAAGAGGTCAGCTCGACTCCGAGGTCTGCGCGAGTGCGGGGTCGGCACGAGTGGGCAGGCCACACGGAGATAGCCGTTAAAGCATTTAATAGGCCATTTAAGGAGCCTGGTCTGCAGGTCGTTGGGAGGCCCAGTAACGGCAGCCCAACGACCCATAGAATTAATAGGCCGATTTATGGCCTTAAATGTATACTTTTGAATGATTCCGCAGAGACCCACTATAAAAGGGGACTCCTCAAGAGTGTAAAGGGACGCCGAGATCAGGCCAAGAATACACACATATTTACAGAGCTATTATTTTCCTTCTATTTTTGAAAGGTGAATCCACCAACTAAGGTTGTGTTGGACTTCCCTGAGGCCAAAAACCCTAAAACCAACACTGGCGTCGTCCGTGGGGATTGTAACGAAAGGTTACGCTCGCTCTCTTGCATCGAGAAAGGAGTCGGAAATAGAGCAGGAACGAAAGTTCAAAACAATGGATGAGGATCGAAGCCAGGCCTCCGATCGTCACAGCGTACCTGAAGTAGACCTGAGGAATAAATTGAACCAGCGAAATTCACAAAGTCAGGAAGGTGATTCGGCGCCTCGAAATCGGCCTCCATCGATGATACCTCTCACCCCCGCGCAGATCGATGCCATTGCTCGCATCGTAGCTGTGTAAACCCGGGAGCTGAGGGAACCATCGGTCTCCCGATCGCCAAATCCGGAGCTGCAAAACCAACATCTGCCCCAAAGGTCTGATAGAGACCGACGAGAGGATCAAAAGGTAGAAGATCCTCCAGCTCGGTCTGTGCATTCCAGACTGGGCCCAAACACGACCTGACGCTCGGCAAAAGAACGATTGGGTAAGGGAGCACCCAGTCAAGCACGGTCAGGTCGGCAAAATCACAAAGTCACTCGAGAAAGGACTCACACCAGAAGAACCAGAACCCAGGGGCGACGGACCGACAGGCTTGCCCGGGACGAAGATTGGAAAGCCGAGTCCTAGGCCGGAGAGAGTACCGAGTCTACTGGGAATCACACCCGGAACTCTGGCAAGATGGCTTATCTGGCCCAGGAATTGCGTAACCTGAAGGAGCAAGTGGAGGGCAAGGCTAAATCTCCGAGACAAACGTTGCTCACTGCCTTACCCTTCTCGGCCGAGATCATGGCATTCAAGACCCGGCGACTTCAAATTTCCGGAGCAAGCTACTTTCGACGGGTCTTGGGGGTCAAGGACCCTGTCATGTGCCGCGCCTTCCTGTCAACCTTGAAAGGACCGGCTCAAAGGTGGTTCGTCGCCTTGCCACCATGATCAATCCGCAGCTTCGAGGGATTGGCCAACCGTTTCATGAGTCATTATGCGGCCAACATAAAGCCTCAAAAAGACCTTACGCACCTCGGCGACATCCATTAATAGTCCTCTGACTATTGCAATTTTTTAAAATTGATCCTCAACTTTTAATTTGTACAAAAAAGACACTTGATTTTCAAATTTGTTCCAGCATTTGGTCCTTCTTTTATCCATCCGTCTGTGGCGTTAGTATAGGGGTTAAAATGATCTTTTTCTTAACTTGCTTTCTTCTTCCAAGTGTTCGTCCCTATGTGTATGAATTAGACGCAAGGAGCAAAACGAACAACTCCATTGTTCCAGAGTAATATATGGGAAAGGGTCTGTGAAATGGGCGGTGGGTATGACGGCAATGGTTTGGGTGATGATGATGATGATGAAGAGTAGCGGGGTGCTCAAGCTCAGCTTCTCAGGTGTTTGTGTTTTTGTCTGACAGAAGGATTGTTGTTCTGATAACTATCTTCCTGTCAGGGAATTACACTTTTTGTTGTAGATTTTGTACAATCTGGGAAGAAAAATGCAAAATTTTTAAAAGCTGAAGTCTTTTCCCCTGAGAATGGCAAACACAATGCATGCTGTAAGATGTTTGGTAGTATGAACGGAATGTTTGATGCCTATAATTATCAGTATTTTCAAATTCTTACTTCTCTGAAATCTCTTGAGGAAAATATTTTCTCAAAACTTACATCAAAAGTAGCCTTTAAGAATATCAAGAAGTTTAACTGTTTTACTACTTCATTGAATCTGAGAAGAGCCCAGAAACTGATCCCCTCTTTCTCTGGCTAACTGGTGGTCCAAGTTGCTCTGCTCTCTCTAGCTTCTATGAGATTGGTATGTTTGGATCTCTCATTCATTATCATTTTTGTTTCTGTGATAGATATCCTTAAGTGTACTGATTAGAGTTATTAGCCCGGTTAAACTTTTAACAGAAACTAACCTTAATTACATTACCAGAACTCTGAAACTCTTGGGTTTATGTATGTTTTGTTGAAGCTAGGTCCTTTGACCATTAATTATGCAAATTCCACTGGGGAAATCCCAGTTTTGGAGTTGAGTCACTATGCATGGACCAAGGTTTTCAATCTTTCCCTTCTTTAAGTTTCAGTCCAACCTTTACATCACCTAATCTTCCATACTCTACAGTGGAGTTGTTGGTTTTGCTCCTCTGTGTCTAATTCATGCATATACTGAAGAACATGAGGAAGAAGAAAGCAAGTTAAGGAAAAGATCATTTTAGTCCCTAACTAACTCCTAACAGACAGATAGATAATAGAAATGACCAATGTTGGAATAAATTTAAAAGTTAAGTGTCATTTTTGTTCAAATTAAAAGTCAACAACTAATTTTGAAAATTCGAAATAATAAGAGGATCATTGCTAAAATTAATTAATTATTTATTTATTTTTAAAAAATCAACTTTCCTTTTTTTTTTTCTCTCTCTCCTTCCCGTATTACAAAATATTCTCTTTTCTAATTACACTTTCAATTAACTATTAAAAAATTACAAAACATCTCCACTATTATGCTCTAAATACACCTAGAGACGCCTACATTAGGCCGTCTCTATCTTCCCAGTTAAAAGCAAAGAGACGGTCAGCCCTAGGCCGTTTTTTTTTACACAGTTTAACATTCTCCAAACTCTTTTTATTATTATTTTTTTTTCAGATTTTTTTAAAAACCCAACATTCTCCCAACTTACAGACCACATATTCCAAAAATAAAAAACACAACTTCAAATCAGTAAAACATAGAGACAAAACACTATAATGCATGACCAAAAAAAAAACAAATAAATAGACTTTTTAAAAAAGTTTGTTTACATTATAAGCTGCCCGAAAACCACCCCGTCGGAAATCCACTACCGAAAACCACCGCCGCCTGCCAGAAAAAAAAAAAAATTGTAAAAAATGTCCCTCTATAATATGCCAATTATCAATGTCATTCATGAATTATGAGTGGTATAAATGTTGCCCCTCAATTATCAAAACGGTGCACATATTAGCCCCTCCCGTAACAGACATGTGGTTTTCCGTTAGTGTACGACACCGTTAAGTCGGAGTAAATATGTAATTTAGTTGTTTTTTCCCTTCATCGATTCGAAGTACCAGCAATGGACAGCGGTGGGGAACCACAGGTCCGTTACGGGAGGGGCTATATGTGCACTATTTTGATAATTGAGGAGCAACATTTACACCACTCATAATTCATGGGTGACATTGATAATTGACATATTATAGAGAGGCATTTTTTACAATTTTCCCAAAACAAAAAAAAAAAAAAAACAACAACCCGCCGGAAAAAAAATTTAAAAATATACACATCTTGGACTAGCAAAAGTTTGGTTGCTGTAGCCTGTAGAACAAATGTTCTTGAGCCACAAAAAATGGAGGACCACAACAATTAGAGAGAGGGAGAGGCTGCTGCAAAGACAAACAATAATGAGAAGAAAAAAATTAGGATTAGGTTTGATTTTTATATTGACAAGCTAACCTTTGACCGTATTAATACGGTCAAAACATACGTATTATGATTAATGTTTGTATTTATGGCGGCAACGAGAGCAACCTAATTGACTTTATTGGTTTAAACCGGTCAATTATGAACAATTTAACCTTGTTTAACTCTCTATGGTTATTTGTAGGCTAGGGTTATAAGATGCAGTCTCTCACGTGCAATTGAGTTATTAGTGCCAGTTTGTAAAAAGAACATATTTGATCTAATTAATGCATGTAATTCCTAAGTTGATTTGATTATATTAATATTCATAAAATTGACCCCGTAATTTTTTAGTCATTGATCATCTTAAATGAATGGATCAAATTAGTCCACACTTATCCATTGACAGATCTACAATGGGGGCAGCTGCTCCCCTCACCTCTCCCCACCCCCTTTAAATTTATGTACAAACTACTAAGGACTTGAGTAGCTTAGTTGGTTGTAACATTTGATATGATATGAAATGTCTCAATCCCATTAGCAGCACTTTTATATATTTTAGCTTCTTTTCTTTATTTTAGACAAAGACCTTGTGGTCTAGTAACACCAAGTTGCTCTCCCATATGAGAGGTTAAGAAAGTAGTTATAAACAGATAATGCACTTAAATATTTATTTTAGCTTCTTTTCTTTATTTTAACTCTTCCAAATTCCAACCCTTCAATAAATTAAATGTTTTTTTTTTAAGTCTACTCTTTTGTGATTCATTTAGTTATACATCATCGTATTCGAATTAATTTGTAAAAACTTAAAGTTGATCTAACTAAAATTAATGAAAATTAAAATTAAAGTATTTTTTTTAGCTTCTTTTCTTTATTTTAGCTCTTCCAAGCTCCAACCTTTCAATAAATTAAATGTTTTTTTCAAGTCTATATTTTTGTGATTCATTTAGTTAATGTAGCCCACAAGTTTATATTATACTCCATCTTACTCAAATTAATTTAGAAAAATTTAAAGTTGATCTAACTAAAATTAAAGAAAATTAAAATGAAAAGTATTTATGAATATAATGTCTTTTCTATTCAAATTATTTTATCTAATTGATTATGTTTCAAATTTTTTCATAAATATTTTTATAACATTTCAAAGTGTTTCAAAATTCACTCTACCCAAGTATAGTTTTGGCTCTGTCCCTAACTATATGTAGTCTATCCTAAGTATTGTATTTGTAATTTATAATCCGTATTTTGTATTTGAATGATATTATGAACATTTGATATTTTGTCATTGATATTTCTAAAGTTATTTGAACTACGCCCACACTCAAATAATTTTCTGGATCCCCCTATATATATGTGTGTGTGTGTGTGAAACTTTAATACTGTAAGAAAAAAAATTGTTTAATAAAAAAATAATAATATAATATTTATAAAGTAATGTACAATTATATCATTAATAGTACTTCGGACTTAACAACCATGAACATTTACCCAATAAAACAAAGGTTGTATATAACTATATATATTATATAATATATGGCTACCTTAAGTTCACAATAAGCACACCCCTACCACCCACCCCCCCCCCCCCCCGGCACTGCCAAGTGGTCCCCAATCACTCTGCTTTTTTCTTTTTTGGAAAAAATGGCAATACATAGATCTTGATATCCGTTATTGGAAGCACCAACTAGAAAAAACTACTTCAGGTAGTGCCAACCAGTTTGCAGTGTATTATACTCCGTATTATATTATTGTGCTTTCATGGCTCTACCGCAATCATTGGTCTTCACTGTGAGGCGGAGGACGCCGGAGCTTGTTTCTCCGGCGGGGCCGACGCCTCGCGGGGTTAGGTATCTGTCCGACATTGACGACCAGGAGGGGCTGAGATTTCAGATTCCGGTCATACAGTTCTACCACAACGATCCTGCCATGAAGGGGAGGGACCCCGTGAAGGTTATCCGTGAGGCGCTGGCGAAGACCCTCGTGTTTTACTATCCCTTCGCCGGTCGGCTCCGGGAGGGGTGTGGCCGGAAACTCATGGTGGATTGCACCGGGGAGGGGGTTATGTTCATTGAGGCCGACGCTGACGTCATGCTGGCGGAGTTTGGTGACGCACTCCAGCCTCCGTTCCCATGCTTGGAGGAGCTTCTTTATGATGTTCCTGGATCCGGAGAAGTTCTCAATTGCACTTTGATTCTTATTCAGGTAATGTTTTTTATTTTTTATTTTTCTTTTGCCACGTGGAAAATCATAGCTACTTTCACATATTATAGGATATGTTGGAGCGCCTTATAGACTTAGTTTAATGATTTAGTAGATACATTATTTAAAAGTCTGAGATTAAGATTTAGAATTTGACAGTGACATTGTAGAGATTATGTTCAAAGTGACCAAATCCTGATCTCTTACGGGGATTATGTTCAAAGTTGACAAATCTCTTGTGTGCACTGACATTTGGTCATATTTACTAAGTCATTAAATTACAGTGATTTACCTCTCTCACATGCTCTGCTGGGTGGGACATGTAGGCCTTAGAGTTGGTGGTTCATCCTTTTAGGGGAAAAAATGATATGTTGAATGTAATCTAATTAAATTAGTAGTTGTTAATTTAATTAGTAATCATAAAGTTGTAAGTTAAATTTTCCGTGGGAATACCTATTGTTTAATTTGATAGATGGCCAAAAGCTCAGTCACTATTTTGTCATCAAAATATTATGGCTACTAGATAGAGTTTTAAATGATTCAGATAGTTATTTTGTTGTGTAGGTTACCCGGCTGAGATGCGGTGGCTACATCGTGGCATTGCGTCTTAATCACACTATGAGCGATGCCTCCGGTCTTGTCCAATTCCTGAACGCCGTAGCGGAGGTGGCGCGTGGCGCGAGTGCGCCATCTGTGCAGCCGGTGTGGCAAAGGGAAGTGCTGAATGCGAGGGACCCACCCCGGGTCACACGCACGCACCACGAGTACGATGAAGTGCCGGATTCCAAGGGGACAATTATACCATTAGACGACATGGTCCATCGCTCTTTCTTCTTTGGACCGTCGGAGGTGGCCGCTCTCCGGCGGATCCTCCCCTCCCACTTACGCAAGTGCTCCACTTTCGAGCTGCTAACGGCGTGCCTATGGCGCTGCCGCACCACCGCCCTCCGCCCGGACCCGGAGGAGGAGGTGCGCGTGCTCTGCATCGTGAACGCACGGCGGCGGTTTAATCCTCCGCTCCCGGAGGGGTACTACGGCAACGCGTTCGCCTTTCCGGCGGCGCTAACCACCACCGAGAAACTGACCAAAAATCCCCTGGGATACGCGCTGGAGTTAGTGAAGAAAACCAAGGCCGACGTCACCGGAGACTACATGAGGTCCGTGGCGGACCTAATGGTCCTCAAGGGACGCCCGCATTTCACGGTGGTCCGGACTTATATCGTCTCCGACGTGACCCGAGCTGGATTTGGCGACGTGGATTTCGGGTGGGGCAAGGCGGCGTACGGCGGCCCTGCAGGAGGAGTCGTTGGCAGCTTCTACATACCGTTCAGGAACAAGAAAGGAGAGAATGGAATCGTGGTTACAGTTTGTTTGCCGGCGTTCGCCATGGAAACGTTCGTGAAGGAGCTTGATAGTTACGCATTCGTCAAATCTGCCCTTTGATTCATTGTAGAGCTGAATTGAGTGTTTTTGTAAAACTATAACAGCCTGTTTGGTTTGCTGGAAAATATATAAAGGGAAATGGAATTCAAATTTCATGAAAAACAATTTACCATGAAAATAGATTCCATTATTTAGTTAGTTTCCATTATTTGGTTTGTTTTGTTTGGAAATATGAATTTCATTGTTTGGTTGAGTTTGGAAGGGTAAGGAATTATGAATATAAAAGATCGATATGTCCTTAACAATAATGTATACATGCCTAATTAATAAACTTTTATGGTAGTAAAATAGTCCAATATTGTTATATTTTCTTCCCAAATCCTTTGGAAAACAAAATACTAATGCCTTGCTAGGATTTTGTTTTCCTTCAACTTTAGGAACTCAAATGCCAATGGAAAAAATTTTCCATCCAACCAAACAACATAAAACAACATTTTTCTACCCTTTTAGGAAAACATTTTCCATGGAATTTGACTTCCATCCAACCAAACACCCCCTAAGTCCTATGACTCCTATCCATTTGAGTATGTAACTTTCACCAGGTCTAAAAATGTGTATCTGTACTTGTAAGTCAAATTCGGTTTTTGGTACGAGTAGTAGACGGTTTGTACTTTGTACAAATATATATATGCTGGTTTTAGGACTTTTGACAGCCCACAGAGGTTCAACACAATATGTTAGATTGGTTGATTCAGCGGTAGAGAAAGTGGAGAATGACTTTGAAAGAAGAAATAGCTACAAAGTCTAGGGCTAACTTTATAATTTCCGAGTGTTCTCTGGACTTGCAAAAGAATGCCCATAACATTTTGTGGGAGGCCTATTTATAGGTGGCTGACCTACACTAATTAAATACAAGTATTAATGCGCAGTAATGGAAAATAGAGGCTAAGAGACGTTGGGCCACTGTTATTGGACTCTTTCAACGGTTGGGTTGACACATTAATGGCAGACATTGAAGTGGCAATGGTCACCTGTCAGACCGACTCTGGTTGATGCCGATTCTCCGGATCGGACTTGGCTTCATACTCGTCCAAGCTCTTCACGAGGTCTTCTCAGGGCCTACGAGACAGATTCCCCTATTTTTTTGGGCTCATTGCAACAAGTCCATTCCTGTATTCATTTTCGCAAATTATGCAGTGGACTCGTGTCTACAATGCATTGTGGACACGAGTCCAAAACGACGTCGTTTTCAGGAAAAACGTGTCATTTCAGTTTAAAAAACTTGATTTTGTCTCGCCGTTAATAGCGTTATTCGTTTGTGCCATTATGAATGTACAATTATGGGATTGTGAATGTACAGTTATGAAATTATGAATGTAAGTTATAAAATTATGAACAAAGAACTCTGACATTATGAACTTACAATTCGTTTGTGCCATTATGAATGTAAGTTAACAGCGTTATTCCTTTGTGCCATTATGAATGTACAGTTACGACATCCCTTCCACCATCTCCGATATCGGTGGAACATCGTAACAACGCCCTTTTACCGGCTCGAAAAGCATGAGCCGGTAAACCGGTAGATTCCCGCTTAAACCAACCTTGGACTGAACCATGGCAATGACAGGTCGGGTTAGACCGGAAGCTTTCCGGCGCCGGAGGAGATTCGGCTGCTTAATCACACCGTTCCATACTCTACAGACAGATGCAGCCTTGGGAAACTGATCAAACGAAATTAAATCCGCATAAGACATTCTAGAGCTACGTCGTTGGGAAGACCGGGAATCAGCTCCATACGGAGAAAAGCATGGAATCGGAGCAGAATTGCGGATTATTAAATTTGAGAATTTTGGGTTCTTGAAGATGAAAGCTAAGGAAACAATCTGTTATAATATTTTTCTTCATAAATTCTTCCAAAAATAAAATTAACAGCATAAAAATATATCATTAAAAAATTTAAATAATTTTTTTTTATTTAATCAAAAAACCAAACATATTGATATTTTTTTTATTTTTAATTACGCTACAATTATATTAAGTCACTATCAGTATAATTGTAGGCTAATTAAAAACATCAATAGGTTGCTGCTAGAGCTCGACGTCATTGTGTAACTACACGCCTGCAGAAGGAGACGATTGATGAGGTGCGTAGAAGAATAGGGAAATTAGTTGATCAAGATTTAAGGATCGTGGAAGCTTGCGGAAAGAGACGACGTTGTGATTGTAAATTTGTTGATCCGACACTTTCTTTATTGTTGCCTTCTGCTCTTCTACATGCTGAAGATGCTGCTAAATTTGTACGTGATAAAACTAGATTCTTAGCTCTTCATAGCCCGATAGAACCCAAACGTATAACAAAGCTTTTCTCCCAAAATCAATTAGCCTCTTCATTGTAGGATGAATGATAGGGAATATACCCTGATTTTGACCTTCCTATACGTCTGTACTTTCATTTAATAGTCGGATCGGGGTCAAACGGCTAGTGTCAAAAGTCAATTAGTCTCTCTTTTCTTCTATTATCTCTCTAAGCATTAAATAAAAGAGAAATTGAGAATCCATTTTCCGGATTCTATCTTCATATTTTCATACAATTTTTATACAAATTACTATACACACGAAATACATAGAGCAATTTAGTTCTATCAATGAATAACCCCAAACTCGATCAATCACATAACAATCTCAAAATCTAGTTAGAAATCTAAAATTGAGGTCAATGAATAGTTTTGTGTTTTCCTAAAACGATTCACACTAATGGGTACAAGTCAATTCACCGAGGATTAATGTAGATCACATGTGCTGTGAAATTGAACGTATATCTTGTGTAATTGTATGTTCAAATAATACAGAGAAGAGAGCGGAGAAGAAAAGCAAGTTCAAAGCAAGAACACATGAACCACCAACTTTTATTAATAAATAATGAATGAGATCATATTATTTATTTGTTTTAATCTAATCCATTCACTAGATATTTAAATAGAGAAATACTCTTCTTTTATATTAAATAATAATGGGTAAGATTTTGTCATTTTTGTAAATTACTCCGTATTATAAATGGGTTCTTGGTGGCACTTACCTTAATGAACAAGTACGGTAAAGAATTATGAAGCAAAAAAATATTTAAATATTAGAATTTTAATTAGATAGATCATTTGAGTCAATAGTTATTCGAGCATTTTAAAAAATTTTATTATTATTTAACCAGCGCTATAGACTTATAGGATAAGACATATTTGTAAGGAAATAAATCAAAATAATATATGTAGTACTCCATCACTAACGCGTATTTACTTTTTAATTGTTTAAAATTTAAAAGAAATTCGTAACGGTGGCTAGAAAAAACGGTAAACGGCGTTGGCTTCCGAAGAAGCCCATAACTGGCTCTGTCAGCACTGTTCGTCTGTTCTCTCCAAAGCACCATTTTGATCGAAGAAGAAAGAAGAAGAAGAAGAAGAAGAAGAATGAGCCCATCAAAATTGAACAATCCAGCGAAGATGTGTGCCTCTTTGCCCATAGATTTGTGGGCTCAAATCCTCGCCAGACTTCCAGCCAAGTCAATTCTCCGCTGCACCACCGTTTCAAGATCATGGTACTCTCTCATCAAAACTCCCTTCTTTATCTCCAAGCATCTCAATTTCAATTCTCAGAATGAGAACCGCAGTTCTTGCCTTCTCGTGCGTAGTTGCATTAACCCCAGAGAAGAAATCTACGAGTTCTGTGATGACGATCGCTATCTAATTAAATTTGTTGAGTTTAGAGCTCCGTTTAAGGCCGAAAATCCGTTTTTCAGAATTATTGGGTGCTGTAATGGACTGATATTCCTTTCTGATGATTTTTTCAAGAACTATCACGATCTGATTCTTTGGAACCCGTTTATAGGGAGGTCGGTTTGCCTTCCTGACCCCAATTTTGTGCATTTCAAGCACTCGCTTGGGTTTGGGTTTGATCCCGTTATGAATGACTACAAGGTGGTGAATGTTGTGGATGTTGGGCTTGGAATTGCCTCTCCCAAAGTTGAGATCTTTAGGCTAAGCAAACGGGTATGGGAAGAGATTAGTGATAATGCACTTGCCTTTTCCGTCCCTGGAAGATCTAGTCAAGCTTATCTAAACGGGGCGGTTCATTGGGTTGGACAGGGTATGCTGAATGGGGAGCTTAGGAACTTGATTGTGCGGTTTGACATGAGTAAGGAGCGATTTGGGATGATGGAATTGCCGGAAAGTTTGGCAACACTGCCATTTATCTGTGTAGCAGCAGATGTCTACATGGGATCACTTGCTGTGGTTGTGCTGGAAGATAATTCGAGGTACAGTATATGGATAATGAAAGATTATGATTGCGTGGCTTCATGGACGAAGCAAGTGTCTTTCATCTTTCCTGAAAGCGCGGGTATACCTTTTGGATTTAGGGGAAATGGAGATGTTCAAGTGATGACAACCTATGGACAATGGCATGCTTATGATCCTAAAGGTCCACCACATTATAAGTACCTTGGAGTATGTGAGTTTAAAGAGCCTAATCTTTTATTCTCTTTTCACGCAAGTCCTTTTGTTGAGAGCCTGGCTTTTCTTGATGCGAGCGCTGATTTTGATGATGCTTCTACTGTACAAAATTTGTCTTTACGACGTAGTAGGAGAAGCACTGCTGATAATGACGATAAGTGACATTTCAGTTATACAGAACTTGAAGCCTTGTGGTTATAGTAAAGAAAAGAAAGGTACTCTTCTTTCCACCTTTGAATTTTATCATAAAGTATCTATGTAATTGCAGCTTACCTTTGTTCTGCCAAGCCTTTTTCTTTTTCTTTTCTTTTTCAATCTTGCAGCAAAAATTTTGTATGACCACTTTAATTTTGAAGATCTATTACTGTGGATATACAGATTATGAAACAAATTAGACGATATTGTGATGTTGGTATCATTAAACAAATTGATATTTGATTTGTGTCTTGTTTTGGATCTTTTAGAACTGATGCATAGCATGATACCTTTGCCTTCAAGGCATTGTAGCCTGTCATTTAGGAATTGTTTTCTTTTGCTCTGGTATCAAATACTTCCAATAAAATTTGAATTTGGAGTGATGAAATGTACTTAATGCTGGATTTAGACTAATATGTTATGGAGAATTTGCTTATTCCTAATAAAAAGAGCGAAAGGTCTGGGAAGTGGGAACTACTAACGTGTGGAGTGCATTTGCTGAAGATTTTGCATGTGGGGAGAACATAAAATTGTATGCTGTAAAAGGGCCATTTGCAGGTGACCTTGTACACGAATGCACAGTTGAACCTTGTTTCGTGTGATGTGAAAACTCATAAATTTGCTCGACTTGATGCATAAACACCATTAACCCCTACTCGTTTTCTTAAAACAATCTTTACTTGATTTTGAATGCAGGGCGTCAAGTGCTGATGCAGTCGGGAATGGATTCATTGACTTCTAACACAGCATGTGATCTGAGCACAGCTAATCTGCTATCTTGTGATTACCTACTTTCCTAGTGTAGTTTGTTTTTAAGATGCTCTATCATTCACCTATGTACAAAAAATCTTGTGTTGCTTGCTTGTGAAATATGCAATAGGCTTCTTATCCCATACATTGTGACAACTTCATTAACAGTTTAGTTTATAAATCAAGTTCTTCTTATGTACTAGTGTATGCAGTTTATGATTGTTGGATGCTTTGAAGTTACTGTTGTTCCTTTATCAAAGCATCAACTGATGAACATAGCAGTTACCTAAGGCGTTTGGTTCGAGGAATTTGAAATTACCAACAAATCACAAAGTAATCTTACACATTCTCGTAATCGTTCCTATAACCGTTCAATACCTTCCAAGAGGTAATCCATATTCTGAACAATACTTTCTAAGTGGTAATCCACATTCCTTACAAACACAATGTCTCACCACTATAGCATTCCCCCTTGAAGTAAATTGTCATCATTGTGTGGACAATTTCAACAAAATTGGTGAGACTTAGCTTGATAATCACAAGGTTCCAAGTTTGTCTCTGAGTGGGAACAGTCTATTGGTCATGGACATGGACAACTTAGGCTGATATTACTACTTTGTCGGTTAGGGTCACAAGACGAGATTTACCCAATTCAGGCCTTCGGATAGTGGCTCAGTGGGTTTCCCTCATCAACCCAAAAAAAAAAATGTCACCATTGTAATGTTTACTACCACAGAAGTAAAATGACCATAAGTGCTGCAAAGGTTGACAGTGAATACAAAACGAATGGCAGCCTTTACTGAAGTCTTTTAGTGGAAATGTTTTGAATCAACATTGGTATAAATACTACATGGCAAGGCTTTGCCTTGCACCAAAACAGGAAATCTCATATGGAACAATAGATGATGAAGCACAACTTTCTCTATACTACTATTGCAATCCAACAGAATTGAGACCATAACGGCACCAGTTGGATTGCCTTGGGATATTACAAGTGATATTGGGGCGTGGCCTTTAGATTTCATTGAGACTTTACCGCCTTGTCTTTCCATCCCTTCTGGCGTGCCCTCGACTCCCACAAAGCAGTCAGTTTCTTCTGTGCCAACAACGCTACATCTGCTTTTTCTCTAGCCTCCTCGCAAGTCTCCATCCCAGAATTGCACTTGTCCGCTTCTTTCATATACTGAGATGTCAGCTTTTTTGCCTCTAGAAGTGCAATATCAGCTTTGTGCTGATTCTCTGAGGCTTCAGCTTCTCGGGATTTTAATTCCTCGGACAACAGTTCTGCAAAGTTCTTCTCTGTGTCTTCACCCACCTCGGGATCATGCTTTCCACAATCTGTAAAGTGTGAAAATTGGAAAAAAGGGGCATTCGTGATCTCATATCAAATGGCACAGGTATCAATATGCTCCAAAAGAAAAGAAAAGACCAAGTTTCTCTAGTGTCATTAAACTATGAAGACACAGTTTTACGATTCCACTTGAACACAAAGAAACTGTTATTACTAAAATACGATTATACTTCTTTAGGTCTTCAAGGGCTATGGTTTTCTAAAACAAGAAGCTCACAAACACGAACACTATATATACTTCTTAGATAAACCAACTGCTTCAAATGATTTCAACCTCACCCCGTGCAGATCCATTATAAGCATAACAAAAGAAGGTACTGAATCAATCATTATACACTTCTCTATAATCAAACGGGAGCTAAAGGAGCAAGGGCAGAACTAAAGTCGTATTGCATTCCTCATTTTCATCTTTAAAAAGCTGGACACAAACAATCAAAAGTCTTCCTATTCAAGTAAAATTTAAGTTGAAGCACAAAGATATTTTGTGCAATTGTGCTTATATCACTAACCTGTAAAAGAAGCGTTGCTCAATCCTGCAATAACAAGAGAGAAATCCATGTAAGGAATTTTTAGATATAAGGCTAAGCAATACAAGTAATGAATATCAATGTCAAATTTCAAATAGATACATGCTTCTATGTAAACAGATAGCTTATATACAAACTAGCCTATTCAGAACCAAAGCAGAGTAGATGATGTGAAAGAATACTTATTATTTCTTATTTTTACTAAGTTAATGCTGTATAGCTTATGCTCAATTACTAATTGCAAACCTGACAAAACCACAATCTTTTCAATTTTTTCTTTTTGGTACTTCCATAGTTCAGTTTTCCAGGCAAGGGGGTCTGCTTAAGTGAAGCTCTGCATTATTATTATACTGAATCAAATATGAAAATGTAATAATTGAGCTTAGACTCTTAAAGGGAAACTGATCCAAGCAAGCCATCACTAAATAGTTCATGTATTTCTTCTTGAGAGACCAACTATGAACTATGAACTACCCCCAACTGAAAAAGATTGCTACTTTACTAATCAGATGAACTAAGATTCATGAAATAACAGCAAATTTGGAGCTATATCCACATAAATACCAATACCCAGAAAGTGAAATGCAAGGATCTTAGCAGATCCGATAAGGGAGAAGCAAAAGAAACCTTGAGGAATAGAGAGAAGGGGCTGGGAATTGCAGTCACAGTTGCAAGGAGGACAAGAATAATAGGATGAAGAAGAACGGGTCACAGCTGCTATGCCTTCCTTGAGGTGCCAGTACAATGGTGGACCCAGAATGTAGCCGGCCAAGCACACCGCCATCACCCCAAGCAGCGCCTTCACCACCCTCTGTCCACATCGTTGGTTCACCGCCATTCTCTCTCTCTCTCTCTCCCTCTCCCTCTTTCTTTCTTTCTCTCTCTCTCTCTTTCTCTTTCTCTGTACTCGATCTGCCGACTGGAGACTACTGTCTATTAGCACGAAGTTTCATTAAAAAAAAAAAAAGCGAGTTTTTTTTTTTTAACAGTCCTAGTGCTCCAGTAACTCTCCTGACCTGGAGTTCCCCGAGGTAAATTTGACTTTATAGGCTTTTATAGCCTTCGTATTGCAAGAATTCTATTATCTTTATCCTAAAATTGAGATGAATGAAATAAATTACGAGATATGGTTTAATTATTCTTGAAATATTTATAAGTTGTTTACAATAAGATTTTTATTTTTTATTTTTTTTTTGAAAACTTGTTTACAGTAAGATTAATTTTACGTTTTTTAATATAAATTAAATTTTAATCTTTGTGACAACACCAATTAAGATGGTTGTGTTATTAGTTTAGTAATTATGGTTTTAATTTAATTGGTTGTGTTATTAGTTTAGTAATTATGGTTTTGAATTTGATTTTTAATAAAAGTAATGTATGATCTTTATGATTTGAGTTAATTATGTATAATTATTCGTGATCTTTTGCACATTCTCAAAATAAATGATTAAGATTGCAAAAAGCATTAGTAAGATTATTAGAGTGCATAAACATTGCTTACGTGGCTGAATAAAATAACAATAATAATAAGATATAGTTGCTCTAAATCTTAAAAAACACTCAATCGAGTTGGATGACGACTTAGTTGGGTTGGACACTGACTCGACCAAATTAGGTTTCAAGTTGGACGAGTCGACGCTTAATTAGCCAACCGACTAAAAGGCACTCGGAGGTAAAATTCTCTCGACCGAGAGACCTTAGAACCTAGGCAGCCACCTCATTTGATTTGTACACCAGTGATAATAATTGCTGTAGGTATTTTTCGTCACCTAAAAAAAAGATAAAGGGTCAAATAGACTCTTAAACTATAGGTTAAAGAGAAATTAGGCCTTTCAACTTTAAAAGGTACAATTATGCCTTTTAACTTGTTATTTTGAGTCAAATAAGCCTAATAACAGATTTTTCACCTAGAATTATCTGTCAAAAAATTATGACGACATTTCCGGCAAAAAAATTCGACGAAAAAAAAAAAATTACCGGAGAAGACAACCATTCGGTCGTCTTCTTCGGTGGAGAAGGCGACCAGATCAGATCACCTTCTCCATTGGAGAGGACGACCAGTCCAGTCGTCATCTCTAGTGGAGAAGGCGACCAGTCCGGTCGCCTTCTCCACTGGAGAGGGCGGCTAGATCTGGTCGCCTTCTCCATTAGAGAGGACGACCGGACTGGTCGTCCTCTACAATGGAGAAGACGACCGAACGGTTGTCTTCTACGGTAGGTGTTTTATTATTATTATTTTTAATTTTGTTGTCGCCGAAAATATCGTCGGAATTTTTTGATCGATTATTCTATGTGAAAAATTTATTAGTAGGCTTATTTGACTCAAAATAACAAGTTGAAAGGTCTAGTTATACCTTTTTAAAGTTGAAGGGCTTAATTGCTCTTTTGCCTATACTTCAAGGGGTCGTTTGGTTCACAGAATGTCAGATTACCTTAGGGGAATATTAGATTACTGGAAATGTTAGATTCCTGTGTTTGGTTAAAATTGAGGTATGTAATATAATCATGTTTGGCTTAGGGTTATCTTTTATACACACTATAAAGATAACCAATGTTATCTTAAATTACCTAAGATTTTGAAGGGAATCACATTCCCTTCAAAATCCTATGTGGAGGGAATGTGACATTCCTGGGAGAATGTTAGATTCCCTAAGATAATATGAACCAAACACCGGAATGTAAGCTTTGGAATGTCACATTCCCTTGGTTATGTTATATAACCTGAACCAAACGCCCCCAAGCTATTCCCCCCTCCCCACAAAAAAAAAAAAAATACTCTTTATTCACTTTTCTTTAATTAAAATAAAGTCCCTGTTCTTTCGTTTATTTACCCTGTGTGCCCAAACATTTGCTAGAATTGCTACACCGCGCGGCGCCGGTGCTGATCGATGCTCAGAAAGGAATGATGATGATGATGATACAGACAACAGTTCGGAATACGAAAGCCTCGGGTTTGATGCCGCTACTGGTGAAAAGGGCAGTATCGTTCTCTGCTTCGACCCAATCTACCGTGGAATCGGCTTCCAGGGACGGAGAACTCAGGCTCTTCATCGTTGCTGGGGAGGTTTCCGGTGACGCCATTGCCGCACGTCTTATGAATTCTCTCAAAAAGCTCTCTCCTTTTCCCGTCCGCTTCGCTGGCGTTGGAGGGTAATGCTCTACAATACATTGTTTCTGATTTTACAACCATCTTTTTCCCTTTCTAATACTCCGTATTAGCATTCTAATTCCTCATTCAATATCATGTTCTTGTTTTTGCATTTATTCAGGCATAGGATGTCTAAGCAAGGGTTGAACTCTCTCTTTCCAATGGAGGATATTGCAGTGATGGGTATTTGGGAGTTATTGCCACATCTTAATCAGTTCAGAGTATGCCACATTACTTGTATTATTATTGCTTTAGATGCAGTTTTTCTTTAAGAAAGAAATTTTGGTAGTTTAATACTGTAATTTGTGCATTTTTTTTCTTTAAGAAGTAGTTTAATACTGTAATTTGTGCCTTAACTTTGGTATTACAGGTTAAATTGAAACAAGCAGTGCAGGCTGCTCTTGGTTTTCGGCCTCATGCTGTAGTCACCGTGGATTCAAAGGGATTCTCCTTTCGTTTCCTAAAGCATTTGCGGGGTAATACATGGCAGGAGTTTTGGTAAAGAAAGATATTAGCTCTTTCCCATATGAACTGGAAAAATGGTGTAGGAATATGAAAAAAAAATGGTTTTTGCAGCTAGGTACAGGATACAAGGGACGCTTGGTCCTCTGCATTTTCACTATGTTGCACCGTCATTCTGGGCGTGGAAAGGCGGTGAGGCAAGACTGGGAGGACTTTCTGAGTTTGTGGATCATGTCTTATGTATCCTTCCTTTTGAGGCAGAAGTTTGTCGATCGAATGGAGTAGCTGCAAGCTTTGTCGGCCACCCTACACTTGAAGATATATTGGAGTTTGAGGTGAAAATTAGTTTTTATATTTTTGGTTTTAGACAGAAGATACTGTAGAACGCATAATGGAGCTTAAATGCAGAAGTCTTTTCTTCATCATCCTTATTAGTGCTATCTAGCCTGTGTTTACTATTATGACTTTTAGCCTGCAAATCTTTGGATATTTTCTCCTTTACAAGAAGATTTTTTGGCTCAAATTTAGAATGCTCCCACGCATATTTGCTTGTTTTCATACTTCTCTCATGTTACACATCTTTCCAATATTTATTGGCTTAAAAGGATTTTGAATCGTGCTGCCCACACTGTTGCTAGGGAAGCCGTTTCTGTGTCAGGTTACGGGGAGTGGTTCGATAATCCTCCTCATTATCTTGTTGATGTTCTCCTTTCTGATTTAATGCATTAAGTTCTTATTCTTAAAAAAAAAAGGATTTGATTTAAGGGGAAGGACACGACACAAGGGGGATGGAGAGTTCGAGGGGATGCAGAAAAGTTTAGGAATGAATATGGAATATCCTCAGGTATGGCAACTTTTAAGTTCTTGTAATGCATTGGTTTTTTCAAGTTTATTGTAAATATTAAGCAATCCTTTAGTGCATCGTACTTTCTAGATTTTTGTTTCCGGACACCCAAAAATTTTGCTACGCTTTCTAGTTGTTGCATATTCATTTAGCAGTCGTTAATTGACTTTTGAAGGATCCAAAATCATGTCCTTGCTCCCCGGAAGCAGATTACAAGAGGTTACTAGAATGATGCCCATCTTCTCAAACACGGTGAAACAACTACGAGATTCCTTTCCAGACTTGATTACGACTATCCACGTTGCACCTAACCAACATGTGGAGAGTTTCGTCGGTGAAGCGACCCGTAACTGGCCTGCACCTGTTATATTGATTCCGGGAGGATCACACCACATGAAGTACGACTCTTTTAGCGTAAGGACACTCATGACTTCCAATTCTTTATTATAAATGTCTGTTCACTGGTGCACCTTTGACCCTTGCATCACAAGTTCCAAGCCTTAAACTAAACATCCATCTCAATCATATGATTTAGTTGCTTATGCACAATGCATCCAGAAGTTCGGTAAATGCAACTGTTCTAACAATCTAACCTACAGTTTTGTGTATATGTATGACTCGTATGAATTATGCTGACAACTTAAGACTAACCTTGTGGTCTAATGGCACCAAGTTACACTCTCATATGGGAGGTTGTGGGTTCGGGCCTCAGTGGATTTATGAACAGATACTACATTGTAACAGAGTCAGTAGCACTCAAAAAAACAATTATTATATTGCATATTTGCATTGATTTGGTGAAGATGATAATCTACGAGTTATCTTCTTGTTGTGTACTGCAGGTTAGCAGTGTGGCACTGTGCACGTCTGGGACAGTTGCGATGGAGTTGCAGCTTGCACGGCTACCTTGTGTTGTGGCGTATCGAGCCCATCTCCTGACAGAATGGATCATACGTTACAAAGCTAAAGTATCGTACATTTCTCTTCCCAACATTCTCTTAGAATCTGCGATAATCCCTGAAGCTCTGTTTCGTGCTTGCACGCCTTCAAAACTGGCATCATTGCTCCGGTAGGCGCCCATTACAATGATCATCCTGTACCTTCAAAATCAATTCTTGATGGCTCATGGGTTCTGATTTTTGCAGGAACTTGATTCTTGATGAAAGTCTGAGACAGAAACAGATAATTGCCGCGGAGAAGGTTATTCGGTTGTTGAGACCTGAAAGAATCTCCGGCAGCTCGACGCCGCTGGATTCCATGTCTTTTGATTATACACCTAGTATGATTGCAGCTTCTACTATATTGTTTTCTAGGAGGACATGAAAATTGGAGAGTTTCACCATGCCAACTCCTATTTTGTAAAGCTTTGTAACTTTAAATTTCAGCCTTTAGTATAATTAGAATGTCAAGGATTTTGGTTTTACCCAACCGAAAAGGTTCAATTCGTGATCTTTTTACTACAAGATTTTCATGTAAAATATTATGTCCCATCTCAATATTTTTTACATTTTCATCTACTGGAGTAGGGGTGTAAATGGGCCGAGCCGAGCTCGAGCTCGTTAATGACAGCATTGCTCGAGCTTGTGAACTGATGCTCGAGCTCGAACAGTTCGATTGTTTGAGCTCGAGTTTACGTTCGAATGTGAGCTCGATTTTGATATTGCATTTGACTTGTTTGATTTAAAATTTAAACTACTTCGTTAGATGTAATTCTACCCTTTCAACTCCTCCAACTTGTTCTTGGGATTCATTAACAGTTTCATTGCTTTCACCAACCACACTATTTAAAGTATGTGGATTTTGCAGGACACGTGAATTATTTGTAAACATTCCTAATGAAAAAACAATAACAACATCAAGTGATCAACTAATCATACCTCAGTCCTCAACAAGCTTACAACCATAACATATTATTAATATTATTAAAAATAAATCAAAGCAACAACTAATCCAAAATTCCACATATTAGCTTACTGCCTAAATGCATAATCCGATAAAAGCAACATAAACAATAGCTTCTTTTTTTTTTTTTTTTTTTGAAAAACATAAACAATAGCTTAATTGCTTACTTTCATAACTAATTAAGAATGAATAACTTTCAATAGCTTTAACTAATTAAGAATGAATAAAAGCAACAACTTAAGAATGAATAATATATAATATATTATACGGCTCGCAAGCGGCTCGTCGAGCCACGAGCCTAGAATACCTAAGCTCGACTCGTGCTCGTTTAATTCACGAGCTGCTCGAGCTCGATTTTGACTGAGCTCTAGCCGAGCGTTGACCGAGCCGCTCGCGAGCGGCTCAACTCATTTACACCCCTATATTAGAGTACTGGGTATATTGCCCCATGACAATTTACACCTATAATTTTTTATTTTTATTTTAGAAGGGAAGGCATTCAAACTGGCCTGGTTGGTGAATTGTGAATGGAGACTATATCACTTGAGTAATAATAGTATTAAAAAAAAAAAGTCATGTGCTACACACAAAAATGCAGTTAGAGCATCTTAAGAGAATTTTTTTTTGCATGGTCTGATGCAGGGTGAATCTAGAAAATGTCCTTGACAAAATACCAAACACCAATAATATAAAGGATAGAGTGAGATAAGAGAGGGGGACAGTTGCCTCAATGCCCTCATTCTAAATCCACCCCTATTTGGATGAGAGAGGAAGGAAGAAAGAGAGAAATTTGCAAGAAAAAGAAAAAAAAAAAGAAGTAACGTCTAATGCACCTAGTGCGCGTTTGGGGCACTAGCGTGCTAATAGTACAATTCTTTTCCTCATTTTCTCTCCTCTCACCATTCTATGTAGCTTGCAAAAATTGAGGGAAAAAAAACCATTTTCTGACATGCTCTTAAGTTGTCTAAGTAATTAATTAGATTAAACATTTTTTTTAATGTTTATTGACTCTATTACAGTGTAGTATCTGTTCAAACATACTTTTTCAATCTAATGAAATACAAAGAGTCACCAACGCCTCCACCGAGACTCGATCTGACCTCTCATATGAAAGAGTCCTTATATGCCATTTGAGCACAAGATGCTTGACAATTAAATTAAACAGAACTGTAATTACATTAAACATTTAACATGACACATAATAGTCAAAGTCGAAGAATAATTAAAATGTAGAATAGCACAATTGTATGTATTACCAAAAAAACAAAAAAAAAAAAGGTCCAAGTGCATGAATATTGCAAGCTTTCTATCCGTTTCTTTCTCTGATATCCGTTTAATCAATGTTCGGCAGGCCAAACCATCCAAACGGAAAACCTGCGAGGAATCATTGGGAGGGAGGGACCCACCATTTCTGTTGTTTTGGGACCCACTACTTTTGTCATATATATATATATATATATATATATATATATATATATATGCTTTATCGCGTTTCCTCGCAACTTCAATTCTGCGTGATTCACGATTTGGTCAAATCCCGATATAGGAATCCTGACGTCGGATATATATGCATGAGTAAAATAATTGGTGTACTCTCATTTTAAACTCTTAATATGTATTCTCTTTCACATATTTTTGATGTAGATATTTTTATGTGGACCCACATGATGAAAATAACAAATCCTGATTTACCACCTCAGAAAGTATAAATGAGAGAATATAATTTTGAGAGTTTATGTAGTAGAACTCTATGCATAATATCTAGCTGGACACCACTCTGCATATATAATACTCCTTATTCACTGCCTAATATTGGGTGAAGGTAATGTAATACGGAGTAATTAATAATTATTTATGTATTCATATATGATAATGTAAAGGCCATAATATAATTTAATTGTTGAGTTTTTATTTTTATTTTTACAGTGTTAATAATATTGTATATAATTGTTTGTGTATTATTATTTTTTATATTTTATATTATATATTATTGTCGTGATCATTAACTATAACTACAAATTATGATCGTATTCATGTTATAGACATCATTCTAACAAAATCCTAATCTTGTTATTTTCTATAGTATTGATGACTATTTGATTCATATTAACTATGGTAATGTTTCGTAACATGTTAGCTTATCAATTAATTTTGATTTGTCTAATTATTATTAGCCGTTTGACTTAAGTTAAATAATTAATATGAGTATTTGATTAATTAATTTTTTGTAATAGCTTATTGCTCCAAAATGTTAAAACAACTTTTCTGATAAACTTTTTGAAAAAGTCATTTTATATGTAATAAAGTACTAATTTACCAAACATCTTTTAAGTTACAATCCAATACAGAGAGAGAGCAAATGAACACAATAATACTCCACTTAAATTATTACTAGAAACTCAGACAACACAATTACAAGATGAAATGAAAGGGACAACAAGATGAACAAACACTGAGTACATACAGAACTCCTCCATATCCAGGAGCCATTATATTCAACACCTAAATTACACCAGTCTTTTCCTTAATTAAGCTGTTAATCAAACCCTGCAGTTGATTTTTATTTATTTATTTATATCTGTTAAACAAACACTACATACCATGGAAGACCTATATATATAGCAAAGGTTCTCCTTCCATCAGACACAGACTATATATGTTGCCTCTCTAAGAGCTGCTTGTTGTGATGTTCAGAAAGAACTGCTGCAACATCCTCGCTGTCTGCGGATCATCCTGCAAATTCACCACCAACATCATGAATTATTCAGTGCCAAGTTGGTTAAACTGTTAACTTGATAACCACAATATTACAAGTTATTGGCCTTCTTGTTTGGACTAGTCAGCTATAGGCAACCTAAACTGGTTTATCTGATCCTTTGTCAGCTAGTTAGGGTTTACCCAATGCACACTTTTGAGTAGTGGCTGCTGTTTTCTCTCGTCATCCAAAAAAAGGAAGAAAAGAAGAGAATTGTGGAGAGATGACTTACATGAAGGACGTTGAGGAACCTTTCGTCGGTGAGCTTTGGAGGAAGGCAACGCCGGAATGTCTCCATGGCCATGGAGCTTCAAGTCAAAATTAAGGAGAAATCATTTGAAACAGACAATTCAAGTAACTAACGACTACCATACTCGAAGCTAAGGGACAATAATGGCGATCGAGTGAAGATAATGTACCGAAGCGGGGTTGGGAGTTCGGAGAGCCTGAGGTAGCAACGAACGACGTATCTTAGGAGACGCAAACATGGAGTCTCAGGCAGCCTCTCCACCAGACGCCCCAGCACCTGCACCACCGAGAAGAACCGCTCTGCAAGAGCGCAGCAGTACTTTAGCCCCTCCTCTTGCACCAGTATTTTCATCACTATCAGAGTTGCTACCTGTACATCATTAACCCCAACTTTACAAACAAAAACAACCCAAAATAGTTCAATTCTCCCCAATATAATATTATATATAATTCGAGAGCTTATCTAACCCTTAACCATATTCATATTTTCATCAATATTATATCAGAGTTGTTACTGGTATAGTAGTCATAGTATCAGTTTAGACTTTTAGTTAAACTGGACATATCTTTTATATACAGAAGTATATATATATGTATATGTATATATGGGTTTATAACGAAACGTACAGTTTGGGTTAGTTCATCGCCAAGGTCGATGCAGCGGAGGCAGAGAGGGAAAACCTCAGTTTCAAGGAGGAAATGGACTATCTCCGGCGCGTTTGGATCCTCAATCTGCACGCGCTTACAAATTACAGAACACGAATATATATATATATATATATATATATATATATATATATATATATATATATATATAGTACAATACGACAAAAACCATAATTAACTCGATTCGAGAACATTAGGGGTATTTATGTCCAGTTCATTTATGCAAGCAAGCATGCATGCACGGGGTACTAACCTTCACCAGCGCACCAATAACCCCCAAGCTCGTCAGCCTCAAAAATTCCAAGGGCTTCTCATTCACACTTGGTTCCAGGAATGGGTAAAGATACGCCGGTATTTTAGCTGCAAAATATACAAAAAAGAAAAAAGTAAAATAAAATAAAATAAAAGCATACGTATATATAATATGTATAACGTGACGTGGACTATATATCAACGCTAATATATACCACTCGTGGGTGCATGCATGCACGTAAAGTTTTAGAATTACACCTTTCTGTCACTAATCTCATTCATAATTTTTTATAATTTTTTTTAGTACTACTACTCTGTTGCAATGCAGTATTTCTCAACCTACTGAAACATAAAGAGTCTTCTCAACCTACTGAAACATAAAGAGTCAATACAGTTATTCCAACTGAAGCTCAAACTCATGACCTCCCATATGGGAGAGTCACTTCGTGCCACTAGACCACAAAACTGCTATTACAAAGTGCAAGTAAAGATTATCAAGTACGTGAAATATTTTATTATGAATCGATTAATTTAAAGATTTAGAGGAAGAATCAAAGGGGAATACCTCTCACCAGTCCCATTCTTGTGTCTGGGTGAGCAGCCATACACTACAGGAACAAACAATCAAATAAAAAATTTAAGCATTAGCTTAATTAATATAAGATGGTGCTAGTCGAACCATTTTTTTTTTTCACTATCTATGATATTATATATTTAAAAATATCACGGGTTAGTACATATATATATATGTATGTGTGTGTGCACGTGAATGAGAATTGATCTTAACCTGAATCAATGCAAGAGCATTGCAAACTCGAGTGGACTCTTTGGTGGTTATCCTCAAGGGAGACAACTTCTTGTATAGGGATATCACTTCCTGAAATTGAGAGAGGAAAAAAGAAATTAATAATAATAATAATAATAGAATTTATTTTGAGTTTAAAAAATTGAAGAAGAGATATATAATTCATTTCATAGATAATGAAGCTAGTAAGAGATTAGAGAAGGTATACCTGCAGAAGTATGTAAACTGTGTTGAAGGAATTCCACAGTAGAATTGGCAGCTCAGCACACGATTCACGCTTCTATGTATTTTACCCAAAAAAAAAAAAAAAAAAAAAAAACATTTTTGAGGAACTAAGATTCTCAATTCTGTAAAAGTAACCTTAAAAAGAAAAAAAGGTAAGTGTTTTTCGAACTAAAAAAATGAAAATTTTTCTAGTTTGTAACAAATATAGAAAAAAAAAAAGAAAAAAAAAAGAGCGAGCGTTAACTTTAAAATTAAAAAAAAAAAAAACTATTAATTCGTCTTTTGCTGAAACCCTAACTGTAATTTTTTTTTTTTTAAATTTCAAATCACAAATCAAAATTAATAAAAAAAAAAAAGTAGAAAAATTGAAGGCATTTTCAATTACCAAAAACACACATGCCCTAGAATTAAACATGTAAATATAGAACACGAAATTGATGCCCAAATCCCATATGGAATGCAAAATTATAGCAAGTCAAAAAAAATTGTTTGGCATTTGAAAAAATTACAGAAAAATTATATAAAGAAATAGCATAAATGCATGCCTGTAATGAAGTTCATACCAAAAGGAGATGAGTAAAAGAAGGAAAGAAATAAAATTCCATACGTTTCCCAACCATTCATCCACCATTGTAGAAGAGAAACAAAAACCTCAAACCCCAAAACCCAAACCCCACATGCACACCTTGTATATGTATGAATGCATGTATGTATACATTGATTGATGTGTATGTATATGTGTCCGTCTGATGCGTAAGCTTCTGAAGATGTAAATCGCGGGATGTATCTATACCTTGTTGAGAAGCTCCATAGCCTCTTCACGGAGATTAGGGTTATGGAGCATATGTAAGAGCTCATCCAGCGTGGCGGATTGCGATATGCTCGAGGAAGCTTCCCCTGGTGGCGCCGCCGACAAGGCCAATGGTGGCGCCGCCGCCGTTGGGTCCACACATAACGTTTCCGGCAGATTTTCCATTAATTCTCACTCTCTTATATAACTTACCCTATTTTCCCTTTATGTTTTTCCTCGGAAAACTAAAAGAAACAAAAACCCCCAAAAAAGATATCAATTTCACATAGAAATTAATACCAAATAGGAGAAAGATCAGAGTAGAGCGCAGCTTTGTTGCTTCTTCTATGTGATGAGAGAGTGCAGCAAAGAGTATTTGTACATGGAGAAATAGTTGTGGCAAGGGCAGTGCTATACTGCTATTTATTGAAGGTTATGAGGAAGGTGGGTGGGGTGTTGGGACGGTGACTGTTGTTAGCTTTTTTTATTACGGTGTGGTTTAATAGTTGTAAGTGTTTTCAATCACGAAATTTGTTTCCCTCGTCATTGCAAAAAGAATGTGTTACAATCATGATTAAATTTTTATAATTTTCAATTTAAAGTATCACTTTTAATTTGCATTAATGTTGTGTGTTTTTAGTGTAAAAAAGTATTACTTTTCAATTTAATTTCGTGATTGAAAACACTTAAAAAATAATCTAATGTTTTTATTTTAAAGAATGTCAATTATAATATCACGCAAAAATTTTATGAGAAACTAATACTTTTTAGTTAAAATATAATATTTTTCTTAAGTTGGAAAAATGATATTTTTAAATTTTAAAATTGAAATTTAATTGATTTTGGCAATTATTATTTGAAATTTAATTGATTTTGGCAATAATTATTATTATTATTATTATTATTATTATTATTATTATTATTATTATTATTATTATTATTATTATTATTATTATATAGAAATCAGATAAGTGTAACGTCTTTCTTGACAACATGTAACATTTGTACGATGTACATGGTTTTTATCGTTTTTCCCTCCTTCATAACCGAGACTCAAGGTGTCCACCGACATTGAATGGCTGACCAACACTACCGTTAAAATAACGAGTACATACAAAAAATATAATAAGAATATAGAGGAAATATAAATATTTTATTATTGCAAAAGTTGGATTTGTTTGATCCCTTGAGATATTTATACAAGTGGGCTTGAAGCGCTAAAAGAAACAAATTCTTAAATTGTCTTGTGTTGAGAGTCCTTGTTACATTAGGAATATATAGGAAAGACCAATCGTATTACAATGCGAATAGGCCCAATATGCTCATTCATGCCCGTGTTGGGTCGCGGGCCATGGGCCCCCTATCTTGCCCGCATAGGCCATCAAATTCTTGGACTTGCTATCAGCACGACCCACACTCAAGCCCGCAGTTTTGACCCGTGGTCTAGTGGATCCGACCAATCAGTGAAAACCGATTGGCTACTCCCTTGTACTCGGGCCTATCCATCAATTATTATTATTATTATTTAGGAATCGGATAAATGTAACGTCTCCATCGAAAACATGCAACATTTGTACAATGTACATGGCTTTTAACGTTTTTTTTCCTCCTTCCTTCATAACTCAAGGTGTTCACCGAATTGGTTTAGACTCGATTTATTTTGAATTGATATGAGATTAAGCGATTTGAGTTAAATCTTCTCTTAAGGGAATTTTGGTTCAGAGTCAAACTTAAGAACTTATGCTTAACTCTTTTCAAAAATAGAAAAAAGTGAGGGAACTATAAGCCTATTTGACCCTTTTGACCTTTTTTTTTTTTTTTTTTTTTTTTTTCCACCTCTCTCTCCTATTTGGCTTCAAAAAATTGTGTAAAAATTAAATTGATGTGAACGCTCAAAGAAACGTAAATTTAATGATAAAAAAGTTCTCAAATTTTCAACAAGTAGATTTTCAAAGAAATGTAGCTCAAATCATGTGTAACGGGGTTATAGAATAATTGAAGAGTTAATTATCGATTTGGTCTCTCGATTATGAGGATTTCACCAATCTGGTTCTCGACTTTCAAAATTTCTCAATTTAATCTCTAATTATGTCTTTTTCTTACCTAAAATAGTCATAACCGTTAGACATCCGTTAACTCGGAACTAAATTGATAATTAACTCAATAATTTAATTTGGCATAGTAACTTGAACAAAATAAGATCCAAGAGCCCAATTGGTGAAAAGCCATCCCAATTGAACAGTTGGTTAGGTAACTAATTGGGTAGAGCCCATGCCTGCTAAACACAATCTTTATGTTGTGCATCTGTATGCACCATGTATGGTGCATACTGATGTAAATACTGCGTCGTTTTGACGTCTAACTTTAAAAAATAATAATTAAGAATTGCATAACTACACATCCATAATTTCATAACTATACATCCAGAATTACATAACTACACATCCATAATTTCACAGTTATAAATTCAGAATTGCATAACTACACATCCATAACTTCATAACTATACATCCAGAATTGCATAACTATACATCCATAATTTCATAACTATAAAATCCAGAATTGCATAATTACACATCCATAATTTCAGAACTATAAATCCAGCATTGCATACCTACACATCCATAATGTTGTTGCTGGGAATCGAAACTATTTTTTTTAAGTAAGACGCGCGTTTTGATGTAAAACGACGCTGTTTTTGCATCCGTATGCACCATACAGCATAATTTGCCTGCTAAACAGTTGGCATACCTAGATGTCTAGCAATCATTATACCGTGCACCAGGACGCACAATGCACTGTGCGTTCTAAAAATTTCATATTTTATATGTACATAATTATATAGTAAAATACACATAATCTTAACATAATATATAATACACATAAACTTTTAATATAATACAAATAAATTCTTAGGGTACAAATTAATAATTCATTATGTACTCTGATGCACCATATAATTTGCCATGGAAATTGTCATAAAAGTGGACTGAGAGATTAAATCGTTAACTATAGATTGGGCTAAAGATGATTTTGATGGCGGGGCTATTGGCGATGTATCCCGTCAAATCTCACGTAAATTAATCTCTTTTGACTCACAATACCCAATTAATGTCAATATATTTACATGCCTTGCCTAAACTTCGTGCTGCAGGTCAACCTTTTCATTCTCTAGAATGGTCCTACTGTTGACACCTCACCCTCGAATCGACCACATGTTAGCCCCTTTACATATTTAGGGAGTATTTTATTATTTGTTTAAAATTTAAAAATATATAAACTGTTTTATTAATATATATATATATATATATATATATATATATATATATATATATATATATATATATATGATTTGATTTACTACTCTCTCTTTTATTTGGTAAAACTTATACTTTATTTGTACTATAAAGCTTAAAATAATAATTTATTAAGTTATTGACTTTTAATATTTTTTTAATTTTTTTTTAATTTATAAAAATGACACAATCTATGATATCTAAATATTTTTTAAATATTTTTTTGCCCATCCAATACTTTACCATACTTGTTCATCGAGTCACCAAGAACCATTATTATTTAATATAAAGAAAAATATTTCTTTATTTAAATATCTAATGAATGGATAAGATTAAAACAAATAAATAATATAAAACAATATATTAAAACATTTCATCTTTAATCGATTTCATAACATATTTTAAAATACATAAAAATTAAATCTAAACATTACTACTTTATTATGAGATGTTAAATAATAAATATCCAATATATATATATATATATATATATATATATATATATATATATAAACTTTAAATTGCAATATATATCAATATTTAAATTTGAATATAATATATAAATTTATAAAAATGTCCTTTTACACTTATAATCTTATTCAATAGCTAATTTTATGGAACACTTTAATTTCAATCAGTTAACTTATTAGCTACTAGCTTTTCAACTTCAGCTATTAACTTTTTAGCTTTTAGCTTTCAGCTAGCATATGATACACATTTTACTTCTAATTTGAATACGAACTCTAACTTTATATGATTGAAATGACCCAAAAAAATTGGATCTAACTTTAATTTCCGTACAATATTTGCTTAAGTTTGGTGGATTGAAAATTTTGAATTGATTAAAGCCCAATAATAATAATAATAATAATAATAATAATAATAATAATAATAATAATAATAATAATAATTGAACGATAAATTAAGAATAAAGTGGCAATTTATATTTTATATCATGAACCAGGGTCCATATAATATTATAGACCATGGATCAAAATGACGATGTACAGAATTCATGCTCGTAAGGTACAGAATTTCATAACACAAGACATAAAAAATCACAATACAAGAAACATATACATGTTATATATTTACTTATTTTTCAAATATGATTTAGGTACATAATTTGTGTTCAAGCACAGAATTTTACAACACAAAACACAGAAATTCATAACATAAGATACAATCATACAATTACTATTTTTTTTTTAAAAATACATACAATTACTAATTTGTTTCAAGCACAAAGTTCATAATCTTAAAATATAAAATTTCATAATACATTGATAAAAAACTTTATGTCAACTTAAAATGCACCAAATCCACAGTGCCTGGTCTATGGTATAACCGTATAAAGATTGGAATAAAATGGAGAAATAATAGATATATGGCGTCCTAAGTACATCATGGAAATTGTCATAAAAGTGGGCTGAGACATTAAATCATTGACTCCAGACTGGGCTAAGTATGATGTTTGATGGCGGGGCAATTGGGGCGATGGAACCCGTCAAACCTCATGTAAATTAATCCCCTTTTGACACACCACACCCCATCAATGTCAATATATTTACATATCTGGGCTAAACTTCATGAAGTAGGTCTACCATTTTTCTCTCTAGAATGGTCCTACCGTTGACATCACACCCTCAAGGCCACATGTGGCAAATTATGCTTTCAGTTTGAATTAGTTTAAATATTAGCTTCAATCGGTTTGCTTACTGGCTACTATTAGCTGTTTAGCTTTCAGCTAATTTAATTTATAAGTTAGGTATGTCAAACAGAACCTATGAAGTATATTTTTTAAGGAAGTACTCGCTTGAGTTCAAGTCAGTTATGAGCAAATTAAAGATTTAGAGTCGCGAAGTATATTTCATAAAGAAGGTTGGCGTGTCTGACATATCGTTACTCGGAATGTTTGACTAATTAACCGTTTTTTAACTTCAAGGACGTGTGGAGTTTATTACAATTATTTCTTATTTGTATTGTCAACCGTAATAATTATGAGGAGATCATTGGTGTGTGTTTAGATCATATTAGATATCTTGTAACAACTAAAAGTCATCCAAATTAATCTTATGAATATAACCTCAATGTATTGAGAAATGGACGAAACGAACTCTACTAAGAGCATCCACATCAGTGGATATTATGGAGATAATGTCAGATGAATTATCTCGGGTGAGATAATAACAAGTGTGGGGGGAGTTATTGGTGGAGATATTTCTCCTGCAAATTTAAGGAGAATGCAGAAAAAGAAGAAAAAGAAAGAGAAGAAAAAAGAGGCTACTGTGCGCGTTTTGCGCACAGCAGCCCGCCCACACGGGCGCGTGCGTGGGCGCGTCAGGCGCGCCTGACCCCTTTTTTTTTATATTTTTTTTTTGTTTTTTAATTTTTGATTTTGATTTTTTTTGTTTTTTTTCCTCCCCTTCACACATTCTCTCTTCTAATCACTCTTACATTATCCCCCAATTCTCCCCAACCATTGTGGATGCTCTAATAACTGAATACACCATAGTTCTTTGCCCACCTCAAGTCCAATTCAAGAACCTTATTTTCTTCATATTATTACTCTTTCTTTCCAATCTCGATTTACATTAGGTTATTTAGATTATTATTTATGCTGAGGAACTAGGAATACAATATGTTATATAACTAAAAGTATTTGAATCAAGAACTCTTGTTAATTAAATTAGAAAAGATAGATTCATGTCATCATGTTATATATGATACACATTCTACTTCTATTTTGAATACAAACTCTAACTTTATATGATTGAAATGACCAAAAACTTTAATTTCCGTATAACATTGTATAAATTGAGCTAGTATAAAATAGTATATGTTTAAAAAAAATTGAAAGTACTTTAGTAGTAATTTGTACTATACGCACAAATCTTATGAAAGTAGTTATACTTTGTATGTATAAATCTTATAAAAGTAATTACATTCTGTACGTATAAATCTTATAAAACTAGTATTTTGTACGTAGTTACGAACTTCAAAAATCAAGGGAATAATAGTCCTAGACTCCTAGGTCGGATTAAGAATGTATTTTGAAAGATTTATATATATCTGATTTTTCGGTTCACCTTCTAGATAGTTTGGGCATAGACTATAGAATTGAAAAACACATAATTTTTGTCAACTTTGTATAGTTTGTAGTAAAGATGGGATAGCTGAAAGATATATACATAACTTAAAGTCCTATATACAAGGTCTAACAAAGAATAACTCCGTTCTACGCGAGTCATTTTCTCGTCCTTATTCCTGTGTACAAGGTCTTCCTTCCTTTTCTAGACTAACTCAACAACCCCATTTTATTGCCTAGTCTTTTGCTTCCGATCCTTCTTCTCACTTCTCTCTCTCTCTCTCTTAGTCTTCTCGATCTGATCTCATTCTCATCTATCTTCTTTTTATGCCCAAAACCAGTGGACTCTCCTTTGATTCAGATCCCACTATTTTACGTACCATTGTCCTTTCACACACTCCCTCTCTTTCTTCTTTCTCGATCTCATCTTCCTTCTCTTATCGCCATCTTCCATCTTCATCACCCTAATTAACCCTTTTCTCATCCTCTTCATCAATGGAGTCTATGGTCAACAACGGGTCTCCGCCACCCACCATACAATTCCCGGTGAGCCGCCTCATCAACACCGCCGATCACCGTCATCATCATTGTCACCATGAACATGATCAAGAAGACCCCGTGGATAATAAGCGGAAGGTTCTGGATGAAATGGACTTCTTTGCAGACAAAACCAAGGACGAAGATGCCGGCATCAGGAAAGATTTACACGCACCCACAGATTTGGATTTCAGCATAAATGTAAGTTTTGTGTGTTTTCATTAATTCTTTACAGTTTTTTTTTTCATGTGATTAGCAAAACTTGCCCTCACTACTAGAGGGTAACACCCATCTTGTGATCCTACATGGAACACCCGGAGTTAAATCAGCCTAGCTAAATTATTTATAGTTGACCAGTTCAAATAAAAAAAAATCAATAAGCTGGTCCTAGGAGTCGAACTTACAACCTAACTAACTTGGCTGGAGTTGTTCCATATTTACAGTTGTTTAATGGATGGGTTGGCTTATGTAATTCCATTGGTTGATGATGATTGGAAATGAATTTGCAGACTTGTTTGCGTCTTCTCACTTCAAATAGCAGTAGCGATGATCAGTCCTCCTCGGTGGTGGAGGATAGATTGCCACCTGATTGTGAGAAAAATGGGAATAAAACGGAGGTGAGAACTAACACAATGAGTACACAAAGCAAGCTTTTTCTTTAATCTGTTTATGATTAAGAGAATGGTGATCCAAAGTAAAACTAATATGATTGATATATGATCTGCAGCTAGTTGCAGTGAAAGCTGAATTGGAGAGAATGAGCGCAGAGAATCGAGTTTTAAGGGACATGTTGAGTCAGGTTTCCGACAACTACAGTAATCTCCAAAAGCAGGTGATAAACCTGATGCAACACCAAAAGAATAATCATCATCATCATGGGAAAGTAGACGAAGACAATAATAGCAATAATGGGGAGATAAAGTTTCCCAGGCAATTCATGGATCTTGGCCTGGCAACCGGGAGATCCAACGACGGCACCACCACCACCACCGATGAAGCTAACTTGTCGTCTTCCCCGGAGGGGCGGAGCAGCGGCGGAAACGGCAGGGAGAGTGGGTCTTCAAGATCGCCGGCCTCGAGAGAGGAGAGTCCCGAAAAGGGGCCGTCGTCTTCAGGTTGGGGTCCTAACAAGGTTCCTAGACTAGGTCATGGTCCGGAAAGTAGCAGCGTCGATCAGGCTACCGAGGCCACCATGAGAAAAGCTCGCGTCTCCGTTAGAGCTAGATCCGATGCTCCCATGGTATATATATATATATATGGAGAATCACTATACTTGCATAATTAGCTAAGTTAATTTGATCAGATTATGGATGGTATCAATAATATATATATATATATATATATATATATATATATTCTTTTCCTGTTCCCAGATCACAGATGGTTGTCAATGGCGGAAGTATGGACAGAAAATGGCGAAAGGAAACCCCTGCCCTCGCGCCTATTACCGGTGCACCATGGCCACCGGGTGCCCGGTTCGGAAACAAGTATGTTTTTCAAACTCCTAATAGTCAAATATGAAAATTCCTTGTCACATTTGGTCATTTCGTTACCCGTAACCAAATTTTTAGTTGAGTAACTTAACTTGAAGGGTAAAATTGTCATTTTTAAAATATTTTTTAACTAGAAAGTTTGAAGACAGGTGATCCAAAATTATGCCAGATGATTAAATATGGTAAGATTTTAAAAGTTTGAGATTAAATGTATAACATTTAATAATTTGAAAACCAAATGTGAAACTGGGATCAAAAGTGGAAAAAACTCAATCAAATACATTGAAAAAAATATAGAAAATGACTAAAAGTGGAAAAAAAAAACTCAGTCAAATATATTGGACAAAAGTGTAGTTAGAGTTGCCTTAGGTATGTGGTTTATTCCATTCTTTTGTTGACAGGTTCAAAGATGCGCGGAGGACAGAACAATCTTGATTACGACTTACGAAGGCAATCACAACCACCCATTGCCGCCGGCCGCCATGGCGATGGCGTCCACAACTTCGTCAGCGGCGAAGATGCTACTTTCCGGCTCCATACCAAGTGCTGATGGGCTAATGAACCCAAACATCCTAGGCAGAACGCTATTCCCGTGCTCTTCAAGCATGGCAACCATCTCAGCTTCGGCCCCATTCCCAACCGTCACACTCGACCTAACCGAAACCCCAAACCCACTCCAGTTCCCGCCCCGACAGCCCAACCAACCGCCACAATTCCAGTTACCGACAGCCACCTCAATTTTGCCGCAGATTTTTAATCAGGCGTTACACAACCAGTCGAAATTCTCCGGCCTGCAACTCTCTCAGGACTTGGAAAACCAATCGGAACGGACCACAATGCACCAGTCCTCTCAGCAGCACAACCCGCAGCTAGTTGATACCCTTAATTCCCTCGCCGGTGACCCCAACTTCACGGCGGCTATAGCCGCCGCCATCACTTCCATTATCGGAAACTCTTCCAATCCCGCCACCAACAGCGCAAGTAACAACGCTAACAGTGGCAGCAATAAATCCACCAACTCAAGCGTTCCGGCGAATTGATAGATACTACGCTGCAGTTTCTTCCCCTCTCCGATCTTGTCTTCATAAAACACGTACTTTGATCAATTGATAATTCTTTTTGTTAAGTTTCAATCTTTTAGACTTCCTTGAGGTTTTCGAGCTTAGTAGCTACGTTACCCTTGGTTGAATAATGTAATTTAAATCTTGTTACGTTACATACTCAATACGGAAATGGAAACTAAAAAACTGCAGCTTGTTGATTATCATATAACCCAAAAGGTTGCCTCTCTTGTATTATATTGCAAGTTCTCATGCATTGGGTTATGGTCCAACAGTTAATTTGGTTATTACAAGATTCTAAGTTCAACTTCAGTTCTTTAATTTCTATTACTGATCACCGAAAAAAAAGATCAATATCACAAATTATCAAAAAAAAAAAAAAAAAAATTTACCATAATACTTAAAATTGTATAAAACTCTTGAGGGAATGCGCTCCCTTAATTAGTCAGGTTGTTAGATGTGTTCACTGATTTTCTACCATGGATAGTTGAAAAAGTTTGAAACACCAATTGTCAAAAAAGATCATCGAAATTTCTCATCACTAATGGTTGAAAAAGTTGAAAACACCACTAAAGGTCATTAAAACACTTATTAGTTAGGTTGGTGCTCATAGATTTCCTCTAAATATATAAAACCACTATTATGTTTGAATGGAATATAAATTGAGATTCATACATGAATGAATGAGAGAGTCATATTATTTCTAGAGGAACTAGTGAATTGTCTAAAAGTTGGTAAGATAAAGGGGTTTTATTTGTTAGGTGGAAAATATGAACAATGAACAGAGATATTGATTCTTGTCTACTTTGATTTGTCTTTTGGTCTTTGAATTGACACTACTACCAAATAGCTAGATGCATGGTCATCTTAGCTCTTTTTAAGTCTTCCATTAAATTTATACACATGTGATGTATTTATCCACTAATTCCAATTGATTGTGGACTCATCCAAGAGTAACACAAGGGTCAGGAGGAATATTTTGCTCATAGTTTTGTCCTTGTTAACCGTTGAAATTTGTACGTCAACATTGCGGTATGCTTAGGTAGTGTGTATTGGATGTGTATTATTTATGGTAAATATATAAATAAAAACATATTATGTGACAATATGTGTTCAGGTATAAATATTCATTGCACAATTAAAATTATAAAGTATATCTTTTAATATGTAAAAGTATATTCAAGAATCTCTACAATATCATAGGTAAAAGTGTAATTCAGGGTGAGTAGAGCATAATTCATATACCTAAAAGTCATAAGTTGGTTCTTGCTATTTGCTAACGTTGGACGATGGCTTGAAGAATTGAGTCCAACACCCTACTATTAAATTGTGGCACTGAGGTAAACGCTTGATCCTGACAACTAGCTTAGTATCAGAGTGGTCACATGTTTGAATCACATTGAAATGACAAGTGCTCAAATCCCATTGAAATGACGAGTGCTACGAGGGAATTGTTGGGCGGCAGCTTGGAGAACTGAGTCCATGCTACTTGGATAGTTAAGTTCATAGTATCAGAGCATGTCACGATTTTAAATATCATGACAAACATGTTGTACGAATGAGGCTGACATATGCTGGGAGAGGATTGTTGGGCGGAGACTCAAAAGTCTAGTTCATAATATTTCCGTCGTTGTTTAAGTTCTGTCCGTTGATGATTGCAAATTAATTTGTAGACTTGTTTGCGTCTTCTCACTTCAAATACTAGTAGCGATGATTAGTCAGTGGTCGAGGACAGATTGTCACCTAATTGTGAGAAAAATGGGAATAAAACTGATGTAAGAACACTGTGAGTACACAATGCAAGTATTTTCTTTAATCTGTTTATGGTTAACAGAAGGGTGAAAGTAAAACTAATATGATATATATATATATATATATATATATATATATATATATATATATATATATATATAATCTACCGCTTGTAGCAGTGAAAGTTGAATTTGAGAGAATGAGCGCAGAGAATCGAGTTTTAAGGAACATGTTGAGTCGGTTTTCTACAATTACAGTAATCTCCAAAAGCAGGTAATAAGCTTGATTCAACAAAAAAGATCATCATCATCATCATCGGAAAGTAGACGAAGTAAAATATATTGAAAAAAATAAATATAGAAAATGACTAAAAGTGAAAAGAAAAAAATAAAAAACTCAAGTCAAATATATTGGACAAAAAATACAGAAAGTGTAGTTGGAAACTTGGAGTAATACTATGGTCCATTGTCTTTTTGCATTAGGTATGTGGTTTATTCTTTTCTTTTGTTGACAGGTTCAAAGATGTGCGGGGGATAGAACAATCTTGATTACAACCTACGAAGGCAACCACAACCACCCATTGCTGTCTAGGGATGGCAATTTCAATCCGACCCGTGGATATCCACCCGAATCCACCCCGCATGGATTGGGTTTTTTTGGGTGATGGTGGGTGGTGAGTCGGGGGTGGGTCTTAAAAAAGTAAACCCGCGGTGGGTCGGGTTGGATTCGGGTTCTATATACAAGACCCGCCTAGAACCCCACCCGACCCACCATGCGTGTGTGTGTATATATATAATAGTAAAATAAGTATTAGTATGTAGTTATTTATAATAGTTTATATAACTTCGTGTATCTTTTTAATATTTTTTATATCAAAACTACTAAGTTTATTTTTAAAAATTAACAATTTTGTTATTATATTTAAATATTTCCATTATTTATGTTTTAGTATCACTAATGGATTTTATTTTTTTATTATGTGTAAATAATTTAAATATTATTTTTTAAAAAAACATAATAAGATGATAAGTGGTGGGTACCCATAGTGGGCACCCGCATTCGGTGGGGGTGGGGGTGGGTTGTGAAAAGTCCACCCGATGCGGGTTGGAGGTGGGGGTGGGTGGAGAAAATATAAGGTGGGTCGGGTGATGGATGTACCCCTCCCCGACCCACACCCGACCCATTGCCATCCCTATTGCCGCCGGCTGCCATGGCGATGCCTTCCACGACTTCGTCGGCGGCAAAAATGCTATACTTTCTAGCCCCATACCAAGTGTAGATGTGCATATGAACCCAAACATCTTAGCCAGAACGCTATTCCAATGCTCTTTAAGCATGGCAACCATCTCAGCTTCAGCGTCATTCCCAACTGTTACACTAAACCTAACCCAAACCCAAACCCACTCCAATTCCCGCCCCGACAACCAACCAACTACAATTCCAGTTACCATGTTCTAACTCGGTCACAGATTTTTGAAACCATACGTTATACAACCAGGCGTTATACAAGGAAGTTGTTGGGCAACAACTTGGAAAATCGAGTCTATGCTACTTGAAGAGTTAAGTTCATAGTATCAGAGCAGGTCAAGAGTTTGAATCTCATTGAAAGCATATCGTACAAATAAGGTTAGCATGTGTTGAAAGATGATTGTTGGACGAAAATTCAAGATTCTAGTCCATAGTATCAGAGCAAGTCATGAGTTCAAATGACTTCAATTTAAATCTTATTTCCCTTAAAAATATTAACAAAAAAACATACGAAAGTAAAATCTATTTTGAGGCATGGTGGTTTATTTGTTTTGACTTGAAATCGAATATTACATTTTTTAAAGTATTAAAAATTATTTTTTTAAAAAAAACTCATACAAAAATAAGACCAATAATTTTGAGATAAGGTGGCCTACTTGTTTTGACCATTTCTTCTTTTGCACAATATCTACAATTGTACATTGACTTGGTCTCTGCATAGCTATTTAAAAACTAGTCCAACTCCATGATTCATAATACATCAAGAATATTTGATTTTTCCCATTATGATAAATTCCTAATGATCATTATATTTCTTGACGACATGACCAATCAAATTTGAAATAGATTTTTTTTTTAGTTAGTAAATTTGTATTGACATAAAATTTTGTGGTTACCGTTAACTACCCAACCAATTTGATTGGGGTTGTTTTCGTATTTAAAAATTCTTAATTTTAAAGATTTTGTTTTATTTTCGTTCAACCCAAATATTCAAAAATTCTAAAACCTAAGGTGAAGAATGAGTTGCCAACTCATGCTACTACTGAATGAAAAAGTTGATAAAAACTTTTGATCGTGTAACTTTAATATTTAAAATTTTTATAATCTTAATTAATAATATAATTAACCGTTAAGACATTACTATATAAGATAAAAATTGTTTCATTATTATTGCAATATTTGTGCGATTGCGTGCATATGTTTTAGGTGATTGCTGAAATATGAGTGGATTGCATGCTGGTCCCAAACAATCGTTCGCCACTCGTTTTTATATTTTAATTATTATATTTTGGTTGAAAACCTAACTAACAAGTACTAAAATAATTGTCTCACATGTATACAAATCTCAGTTCCAGTAAGCTAATCTCAGACTGATTGTAGTGTATCCCAATTTAGGTCATAATATTCCCTATATATATATATATATATATATATATATATATATATATATATATATATATATATATATATATATATATATATATATATATATATATATATAGGGAAGGGATCAGGTGCATTTGTGGCTTCCCGTGCGGTTGTGCGGTGGATTAATGTGCGTGAGGTTTATACTTAATGTGCGTGAGTGTTGAGCTTAATGTGCCTGAGATTTGTACTTAATGTGCGTAATGTTAATATGCATGAGTTTTGTACTTAATGTGCCTGAGTATTGTGCTTAATATGCGTGAGATTTGTGCTTAATGTGCGTGAATAGTCCAGAATTACGAGCTCAGAAGGAAGCAGAACAGAAAACTCACGCACATTAACGCCCAAGCTTCTTGTTACTTCTTCCTTCAATTTGGCCATGGATTCTGGATTATCAGCTACCTTCAGTGCAGTTGAATGTTTATATAGATGATGCACGCACAACAAAATTTGCACACCAGCTAAGTGTGGATTTCTGTTGTATTATTCCCATAATTCTTAACCACCATAGCCCGCCTCCGCATCATCATCATCAGGGGAGGGGGCAATGGCTACTGGGATGGGGAAGAAGCTGACATCCATATTTTCTGCTGCATTTTACACATTCACGCACATTAAGTATAAATCTCAGGCGCATTAAACAAAACAGTCACGCACATTGAGTACAAATCTCACGCACATTAATCAACCGGCCCAACCGAACGGGAACCTTTCACTATATATATATATATATATATATATATATATATATATATATATATGTATGTATGTATGTATGTATGT